TTTCTCCATGCAGAGAGGCAGATCCGGTATTGTGGCTTCCGAAGAGGCTTCCGAACTAGAGTTATGCCTTTTGAATCTATCGCGAGCAATGCTGGAAGTACCCAGCAGCTGAAGTTGAGTATCCTCCACCATGATTGGAGATCCCAACAGATCATCCTCGTCAACCCAGTTTTTCGGAGAAGACTCGGGAATAACAGTTCCACCCCGTCTAAAGGAGGGAGGCTGATCCTGGTCATGGTTTACCTCTATTCTTTCAAGTGCAGATTTGCGTCTCGAGCCCTCTGAGGAACCTAGGGCTTCTTTGCCTCGAGAGTGAGGAGAATGAGAAATGCGAGCTTGGCGGGCTCTGTCTCGAGTGTCCGCATTCCGATGGAGAGAGATGATTCCTCTGTTGGAGGTTCTCGGAGAATCACGATTAAGTGAAGATCTATTAAAGTCATCGAAGCGGCGTCGATCAGGAACATCGTTAGAGAGACGAGATCAGAAGTTATCTCTGATGATGAAGTAAAAGAAAGATTGGAAGGTGAAGGAGAAGGTTACAAATCCGAAGAAGAAGAAGACAATACAGGAAAAGGAAGAAGAGAACCCGGAAGATTAATAATCTAGAGAACAAAAAGACGAGGAATAAGTAAATTTGAAAGATATAGAAGAGGAATAAAAAAAATCCAAAATAGATGAAGAAGAAGTTGGAAAACACGATATGACGAAGAAAAAAAAGAAATAACCAGAAAAGTAATAAGAAGACAGATGAGACGAAGATGTAGAAGTAGAAAAAGGTGAAGTAGAAGTATAAGAAAATTGGATAGAACACGAATTGGAAGAAGGATAAGACAGGGAAAAATAAACACGGATGAAGAAAAAATACTAAGAAGGCCCAAAGATGAAAAATAAAAAGTTGAAGAAGGTGAAAATGAAGAATGAGACAAAGAAAAACCATAAAGAAGTCATAGAATATGAAGAAGACAACAATAATGAAGAAGAGAACTAAGAAGAAGAAATATAAACCAGAAAGAAAAAGAAGAAGACGAGGTCGCAGAAGACGTAAAAGTCATGCAGTTAAATTCTATAAAAAAATGAAAAAAAAAAGTAACCCGAAGAATAAAGCGGGGATCTTGATAAACAAAATAAAAATAAAAATAAAAAGAGAAAT